CAGCCGTGCCTGGCGATGCGCACCAGCAGGTGTGTGTAGCTCCGTCAAGCTGCCTTGGTGGGTACCGCGACTCCGGAGACGACGAGGCTCCGTTCGAGGCCACTGCCAGACAGACTTCCGCGATCGCTGGAACCGCAGGCCTGTTCGAAAACGCAGAGTTAGATTCAATGTGATCTTATTTTGTCGTGCGATTTTTCTTAAACAATTCTTGGAAGAGGATATAGGAAAATTATCGCCTCTTATCAAATAAACGATATTTTTAATTTTAATATAAAAAACATATTTTAAAGTTTTTTTTGTGATTTATGTGTTTCAAATGCAAAAATTATAATATAAGTAATTGACAAATTAGTAGAATCAAATAATTATATCAAATTCTTAAAGTGGAAATGTTATATTATCCCTTTACAAAAAAGTGATTTTCGAGTTATTACTACGAATGAGTTAAGTAAATATTATCTCATTAAAAGTTATCTAACTTTATAAAAAATCGTCTTAATCATTACAACTCAGAAAAGATGATTTTTGTTTTAATTGTGAAACGAGAACAAAAATGATATTTGATTATGTTAAAAATATATTCCTTTTGCTGCAACATTATTTGATTAGACAATTTTTTGCCAAAAATAATTTTTCCTCTTTTTTGGAAAACTTGTTTTTTTAGTTGTCATCTTTTGGAGTAAGAAACGCTATCTCATTGTGCTTGTATTAATAAGATTAATAAGTAACAAGATGCAGGATGTACAATATAATTCTCAAAACATTTATTACAAAGTTTTAACAATAGAACGTACCTTCAGCTCGCTGAAGATCTCTGTGAAGAAACCGGGCTCGCTGTTGATTCGCAGCATCTCGGAGCTAAGTCGGTTGACGATCAGGAGACATCGGTCCCAGAACTTGTCTTTGCTGTCCTCGACGAGGAACGGCTTCAGCGGGTAACTAATTTCGTTACCCATATAACTGTAGCTCAGGTAAAGACACGTCAGTACCGTCGCCTGGAGCTCCTTCTCAGATGCCTCATCTCCATCGACAAGCTCTTTCACCAGCATATACACGAACACTACATTGGCAGGGTTTATGAAGGGCACGTCCTGACAAACAGAAAAAGATAAATGTGTGATTAAAATTTTACATATTTTATTTAATAATGCATATTAGTCTAATTTATAATAAAATAAGTAAAACATATTCGTTTTGTATAAATAATTTTATATTTATTTGAATTGTCCAGATATATTCTATTTTTTATCTAATTTTTAAAATATAATTTATACACATCCCGTAAACGTAATTATGTAGAACAATATGATTCATATCTAAAGTACATCACTTCGTAACATAAATATCAGCGGTGTATCTCAGACAACAACGAACGATAAAAATAAAGTTCGTGACGACTCACAATTAGGGAAATGGAAAGCTTTTTTTTGAATGATGTGTCCATTAGATATTTTTTTAAGCCTGCATTTTAATGTTACACAAACTGACACAATTTTGAGATAGATTGAGTGAACTTAATTCTCTCAATATATATATGTACTTGCATTGATATTATATCGTTGTTAATATAAACTATGTTTTCACGTATGTCATTAATTACATATTGTTTTGCTGTGCAGCATAATGTTGCACTTGTGTTGAATGTTTCCCTATAGACTTTAGGGACACACGTCTTTCCATACACATGTGTGTTTGTATTGTACACGCGTGTCAGTGTAAATACGTATAGGCATATATATCGAACGCAAGCACTTTGGATACAAATATAGTCACATAGATGTTAATTAGTGCGGATACACATATAAGGAGAATATGTCGTATAAATAGAGAGTCTATTTATACTTGATAAGACCTCCGTTAGCCATGAAACATAAAAGAAAATATGCAATTAAGTACATCTATGTATACAACTATATTATTTTTATATACATGTATATATATATATATATACACTTATGTATAAGTATGCATTGTCTTTATACACATACACGCATACATATGAATGTGCAGATTATCAAAATTTATAAAATTTTCACAATGAAAATGAAATAATTTTTCTTATATTATTATATCGAAAGTGAAGAAATCTACACTTATTTTCTTGAGTTACTTCAATCCACACATCTTGCCTAATATAAAGGAAAATGTGTATGCGTTGATAAAGAGAGGAGAGAGAGAGAAACTATCTTTCTTTTATCACATATAACGGAAATCCAATCAATGAAAAAATTGAATATAAAAATTAAATGTAATAAGTAAGTCTTTAAATAAATATACTGCGATTGATTAACAATATATCAAATTTTATATAATATATTAAACTATTACCAGATTTATTCAACTATGTATCAATTAATTTCACGAATTAATTAATACACTTGATAACCACTTTGTTTATTTCATTTATTAGATACGCTGTACTAAATATGAATACATTATAAATGAATGCAATATTAATTTAGCTTGAAGATGTGGATATGTTAATTCGATCTAGTTTTTAAATACAATTAAAAATACTAGTTTGACTTATTATATTACCGTAAATAAATAATGCTCGCTTAATAAACAGAGATATTATACGCATTATATGATAATAATGTGATAATATTATGTAAGTATAATTATAATATGTACCTATTATGTTAAAATAATTTAATTTTAATTGTTAACAAAATTAACTAATTATGCACACGATAAATAATACTTATAAATAACAAACTGTTCTCATTTAAGAGAAATACATAATTATAATACATTTCAAGGGAGAAGCCGTGCACGCATCAGTTCGCGGCGTGCACGCCAAGACGGAGCGAGTCGTACAGTATAGTCGTATTAGCGCGCATGGATGCATCGGCTCATGGTGCAGGAGGAGCGTAGGTGCATCGATTCGTAAGAGGTGGTGCACGGCGTGGTGCGATGCGGCCGTCGCACATGTGGGTGCATTAAGCGCGGTGAGGCCACATCGGTGACCCGGGGAGGATCGATGCCCTCGATACGTTTTCCCCGCGCGATCGGCAACCTGCTGCTGTTTTTATTGTCCGCGCCGCATAGTCGGCCGCCCCGTTCCTCGTTAGCCGTGTCTCTCGGCTTAATGCACATTACGCCGCGCGCACTCACGTTTGCAATTTGCTCACACGCCAGGATGCGTCCCCCCTCTGCCGCCGCGGCCGTACGACGCTGGCAGGGCCGACGACACTTCTCGGCGACGGCGACACGCCCTCGTGCCAGCGCGCGCCGGGAGATAATCGGAGCAGTGCACCTTGCACAATGCAGTGGAAAGAAAAAGGGATGCGCACGGCCTCGCGTAAATGTATCAGAGATTCTTTCGATTCTCCCGCGAAAACCCGAGCGCCTGATTCGCCTGAGGTACCGCTAATGCAATCAGACAGCTACTGCTTTAACGTAGACGAGATTGCCTGCGGCGAACTCCATTTCACTGTCACTTTATATAACACATTACAGTTCAAGTCGATTTACCGTGCTTTTAAATTTGTATATAGTTCAGCGATTATTTTTAAAGGAAGGATAGATTTAAATAAATCTAAAAATAATAACGATATAAATAGTAATAATATAAAGTAAATAATAATGGATTATGAAACCTTTCGACTTATACGTCTATTAAAAACTGATTGCGAGTGATTCACATTGTTGCAACAAATATTTCATGAATTGCATCAACTAATAATTGCCCAGAATAATTTTCTTAACACTAAAAATACCAATGTTTCTCACTAAAGGAAACAAGTGAATATATTACTATGAAAAAAAGTAATAAAAATCTAATAATTATTAAAAAAGCAAAAGATTTCAGAATTTAAACTTTTATACAAGAAATATAATATTAATCTGAAAACGGTCAATAATGACTGTTCGATTCTTATATCAAATTGCAATCCTGCATTGCGCCATTAATGTTTCAAGTATAAGAGCTTTAATTTGATGCGTTTGAAATTACTTTAATTGTTAACAACAAATTTTTTTCCTTTTTAGCACTTAGCACTTAACTGTTTCAAATATCGAAGATCTTTGGAAAATCTTCAATGTAGAAAGTAGTGAAAAGAGAGAGGCTGTACTTTTAAAGTTAAGATAGGTGACGTGTTTTAGCAAATGAATGACGTATTTTAGCGAACTATTGCGAACAGATCGCATGATGCTATCGAGAAAAATTATTCATAGGCAGCTATCGACAAAGTTTTTATGTCTACAACTTGTGACATAAAACATGTCGCGTGAGTGAAATTCATAAAATTACATAGAGTTGCCCTCATTTTATTTAAAAACATAATCAGGTTACCTCGAAAATTGCATTTCCAGCCACTTGGACCGTTTTCTTAAATTCAATTTTCTCAATATAACCTTTTTTTATGGAGAAAAAGTCAACAACAGATTAATTGAGAAGTGAAAGAAGAATGTAAAAAATTGTGAAAATGTAGAACGATTTTTTATAAACGTTTTTGCGTTTGTCATTATTATTTCCTAAAGAGTAGACTGTATAAAGTTTTCGCTGTCGCATGCACGATTCATTAGGATTTCCACGTGCTTCCGCTGACTCGTGAAGAGGCGACCCTCTCGATCAGGTACAACATCGTTCAAGAGTCTCGAGAGCCGCAGGCCGCGATGCAGAATTAGGGGTGCCAATATACCCGGCAAGAATGTATATACCTCTACGTCGGTCGATATTCGCCAGGGGTGAGCGGCCTGCTCTACTACCGTGCAACCCCCGCGCGTTATTCGAGTCGTCTTTGCGTAGACCTAAACATTTAATTAAATTTCCAAGACTACGAATATAACCGGTTCTCCGGATAATTCGTTAGTGCACTACTTGGACCAATTAGCGGCGTAGTTGGCATGCACACGAAACACCCTCAACCGCAACGACAATCTGACGCTTAGTCGGCTCAGGGATGTCCCAGATGGAACTTTGCGAGGACCCGAATTCCACGTGAATTACAATTAACCCCCGAGCTATGCGTTGTGTAATTAAATTATGCAAATTTATGAAACACACGCGAGCGCCATATCCGCGTGCCACTAACCGATATCGGCTTTTGGTTGATTCTAATTTTGGATGTCAACAGTCGTGTGAAAGTCATCCAACTGATTCTGTAATTATATCGTCTCGATTGTCTCTTCCGAGATCACCGAGTGTTTCTCGAAGATAATTAATTAGGTGCCATGTGACATGTGACGTACGACACACGTGCTACGCGCGGGAAACGTGACAGGAACAGAATTTTCAATCTCAGCCATGTATGGTTTCCTTTTAATCAGATTTTCAGCAACGCGAGCAGCCGGATTTGATCTTGTTTAACGTCCAGACGAAACCAATTGGTGAATAGAATCGTCTATGGACTGTTTACAAGACAGTTTGCTTGCGTGCTTTGACGTCTCCATGGAATTAAACGATAATGACGTAGAGTCAATCAATATTTCATTTAAGTTTATAGTCGTAATAAATAGTAAATGTGATTGAATGTACATATACTGCGTATCGGCTATCATAAGAAATTGCATGTTAGCAGGATATATTTATTTTACAAATTGTTAAAAACAAATTTTGTTTATAATTTTTCCTCGATAAATTATTTCTTACTATCAATATACTATCATTTAAAAGATTTATGTTAAATATTAAAATAATAAAATGTAAGTAAATAAATATAACTTTTAAATGTTTATTTCTATCTTATTAATATATTGTAATAATTAATTAATGTTTACCAAATAATATAATGGTAATACTAATATAACATGTATTTAAATTGCTTAATTTTAATATTAAATATTTAAACAATAATATTGATAGATATGGACTAAAATAATTAAAATATAAAAATTTGCTTCTTTCCTTTGAAAATGTTTCATGAAATTCATAATTAGGTTAGATCATAATCCGATGTTTTTAAAGGGAACTATATTAAGAAACAAAATTATTTAAAATTGATCAAGCACACAGTTTGAAAAAATGTTGGGATTACTTATTGTGGACATAAAAATAGTAAGTTATGTAGACATTTATGACAAAACAATCACAAAACATAACTACAGTATATTAAAAAGAAGATGAATATGCACATAATCAGTAAAT